CAGAGTTCTAGACATCCCCAGACTGTGTGTCTGGTACCTAGCCCCTAACAACGTGGGGGTTTCCAGTTAGCACAAGGAAGTTAATACATTGCTCTGTGGTCAGCTGGCTATTGAAGGCAACCCAACCAGTCGTCTGCTTCTCTAGTGGTGATTCCAGTGTTCCTGGGTAGGATCAGAGTTCTCAACTCTACCCGGTGAGTTGGACGTGTTCACATCTCTATTTTCATGGTTCCTCACTCCTTCCAGGTCTCAGAGTTTAATGAAGCTGTAATGGTCTGCCTTGAATGTCCTAAGAAAATGCTTTCAGGGGTGCTTCTGATGTGCATGTACCACCCTTGTGCGTGCCTGGGCTCTTTCCTGGGGACCTTGGCTTTGAATGGATGGTTCATTGAGCTGCCCTGCCCTGCCAGGAGTGAGGTGGGGTTCTGTTGAATCTCTCTCTCTCTCTCTCTCTCTCTCTCTCTCTCTCTCTCTCTCTCTCTCTCTCTCTCTGTGTGTGTGTGTGTGTGTGTGTGTGTGTCTATAGCATACATGATCTAGGACTTCCCATAAACCATCAAAAGTAATCAGCAAATTTTGAATCAAGCCCTCTAAAGAATTTTTATTTCTAGAATGCCTGGAAACACAGCATTACAAAGGCTGTGTTTGACCACAAACTAATTTATTCCCCGAATCTTGGATGTTGAAAAATATAGCACCAATGGTGGCAATTGAAGTGGTGCCCTGTGCGAAAGTTAATGAGTCATGGAAACGGATGCCAGAAATCACAAAAGTTACTTTCTGTAAGAACCTGGGCCTCGGGAATGTTATATGATGCCAGTTAACTTGGTTTGTTCTCTATGTCTAATTCCTGCCATAGACAGGATGATAGCCCAGGGTGCCATTGCTTCTATGGTGGTTCCTAAGGCAGGGTGCTCCAGGAGGCCATGTACCCTGGAGGATCCTACTGTCTACACGGGGGAAGGAGGAATCCTTTGGCTTGAATTTGCACGTCTTTCTGGGGGAAGCCAAGCTGCAAGATCAACTGTCTCCTGCATCCATCCATAACCAAAGCCTAGGCGTGGTGAGATCTCCTGGAATGCAAAGTGTCTTAGTCTGGTGGGAAACCTGCAGATTTAATGTCCAGCCTGAAGGTTGCAGAAAACTAGAACATTATTCTGAAGGTGGCTGTGGGCTGGAAGGGGTGAGAGCAGGTACTGTCTAATCATAAATGGCTAAGGAGGTCCCCCATGCCAGACTCCTGGGGAGCAAGAAAGGAAAGGAAAATGCACTCGAGAGTGGTAGGAATGACTGGACCCACGAGATGTGAAGAGAAGCCCGGGGAACCGCAGCCGACACTGGGCTTCCTCTTGTCCTTTTAAGCCACTGGCAAGAACTGAAATTTCCTGGTGACCCAGTTAACTACAGGGATAGCTGCTGACCCTTCTGGCCTTCAAAGACCTTCCCCTGGGTTCATGAAGGTCCCGGAGAGGGCAGGAGAAGCCGGTGGTGGTGCTGGATCCAAGTGGTAGGTGACCTTGCATTTGAGTTAAAGGACTGCTGGGAAATTGGAGAAGATAAAACTTAAAAAGAATGCAAATGAACTGCATCAGAGTGGACAGGAGCCCTGACTCCATATCCACCAGGGATGGCTGCCTGGAGCCTATAAATAGACACTTAGAGCCTGGTTCTAAATTGAGTTCAGATGTGGGCCTGTTTCCTCGCACGGAAAAGTATTTGTGTAAAGTATAACACATACCACTGTTTCCAAGCTGGAGGATTTTGTGCTTTCTTAGGGACTCTATGTGGAGCAGGCGGGGGATGTGCTGCGTCCAGATGAATGAGACTCTGTCCTTTTCCAGGGCCTCCCAGGAGAGGGAGCCCTGTAGAGAATGGCTCTCTAGGGAAGGAGGCAGCGGCAGTTCTCCCAGCGCAGGGGAGTGAGTCCTTGGGCAGCTTCTGGGTTTCTCCCGGGTTTCTGCTCCAGGGCAAGAGAGACTAGATCCAGGGCACACAGGACCTCTGCAGACCCACAGTGAACTGGTAGGATGCCAGATGGTCCAGAGTGGGAAGTGATACATGCTTCTAGGGAGGGGTGTAGCTTGTATGGCTTGAGGGTGTCGGGTCCCCTAGAACTGGAGTAACAGACAGTTGCGAGCCTCTATGTGGGTACTGGGAATTGAACCCAGGTTCTTTGGAAGAGGTGTCAGCGCTCCTAACCACTGAGCCATCTCTCCAGCCTGGAGTCTAGCTTCCTAGCCAGTCTTTCTGGGGAAGATGAAGGCTCTCTCTCACTCAACTACCATTTTCTATTATGCTAATCGGCACAAAATATGGGTGCTTTGAGGGGAAAAGAAGCTTTATTTTGTCTTGGTTCTGGAAGTCCAGGGTCTAGAGCTGCGTACTGGGATGGCTGTCCTGCTGGTAGCAACCCCAGGTGGCGCATGCATGGCCTCGAGTGGTGAGCAAGAGAGCAAGGGCACTTGCGCATTCGGATTTCTCTCCCTCTTCTGATAAGCCCACCAGGGTGAGTTGTGGGAGCTCAGGATGACAGGTCCTATCTTGGTGATCTCCCCTAACTCCCCACCCTCCCCCAATCACCATGGTCAGGATAGGTTTTCGCCTCCAAACATCTCAGGAGAAACTAAACTCCAGCACTAGTCTTATAAAGGACAAGCCGTGTTCAGACCTCAGCACTGGATGACCGGTTTGAGTTTGGGACCATAGAGCCACCCCTTCACCAGTTGATGAGTGGGGGTGCCCTTTCCTGCCACGTAGGTAAAGTGTTTCCTCCAGGGAGCTGAAACATGTAGTCTATGCACAACTCCATAATCAGTTGATTTTGAAGGTTTCCCAGTAGCAAGCTTGTGCTGTATCACGGGGACTCAGATAGGAGGGTGGCTCCAGGGTTATTCTGGGGATTTGGTGGGTTTCACCTTCCCAGCTGCCTTTTAATAGCTTTTATTTTCTTTTGCCTTATTTTCCTAAAGTGTTTATTAATATGTATATATTCTGTTCCCCCTCTTGCTTCTGCCCCCTGGGGTATGTGTGTGTGTGTATGTGCGCGTGCGCGCACGTGTGTGTGTATGTGTGTGTGTCTTTAGACCAGAGGTGAGCCTTGAGTGTCATTCCTTAGGTGCCATCCGCCATACTCTTTGAGACAGGGTCTCTCATTGACCTGGAACCGGCCAGTGAGTTCCAGGGATCTGTTTAGCTCCACCTTCCAATGCTAGGATTACAAGCACAAGGCACAGTTGCCTTTGTTATGTGGTCTCTGGGGATGGGACTTGGATACTCCTGCTTGGGCTGCTGTTAAGTCCTTTGTCACCTGATGGATCTCTCTGGGCTCCATGGTCGCCGTCTCCGTATTCATGCTGATGCTGCACAGCCTTTGACGCCCACACAGGAGGCAAGCAGCCCATACCGGCTGCACTTTGGGAAGTGAGCATGTGGTTGAAATGCCTTACTTACCTCTAGTGCTCACTTGGGTGTGGAGGCCTCTTCAGAGAGCCAGAATCTGCAAGGCACGGACTGAAAGGCTGCGCATGCACCAGACCTCTAGGAAGGACCCGCAGCCATGTGAATACCAGGCCCCTGCCACCCTAGGGAGGGCACAGAGTCCAAGGGTCTGCAGATCCCTTAAAAGTTTTCTGGAAGATTCTAGTCACTTCTCTCTGGACATAGGGCATTTGCACAGGCCATGTTAAGGCAGATGAAATTCTTCAACACTGGGAGGACCTGCTGCTAAGAATGTCTCCTGAGGGAACTGAGAGCCCCTACCTGGTCTTGTTGGAAATGTGCTAACACAAGTCCAGACCAGGCCTTTGTCACAGAGTAGAAGCCATCATCTCCTTGTGCCAGGAACAAGACCTTTTCCCTAGTGAATGAAGCCGCCACCCCGGTGACCTCAGGCCCCACAGCAGGCAGAGGGCGACCTGGCCACTCAGTGGAGCTGCCTGCGAAGCCTCTGTCCTGGCTTTCTGTCTTGGAAGACTTTGGGAGGAGGCATTTAAAAATGGACCAGAGGAGCTGAGGGGACGGCTCAGTGAGGAACCATGCAGGCATGGGTTTGGAACCTTGGGCCCTCATGTAAATGTCTGTGTGCAGTGGCCTGTGCCTGCAACCTCGGTTCTGGGAGGGCAGAGATGGGAGGGCATCTCAGGTACCTGGTTAGCCAGTCTAGCCGGTTAGTGAGCTCAGGGTTCAGAGAGACTGTTTTTAAAAATAAGAGTGACTGAAGAAGATGCTTGATGTTGGTGTTTAACCCTCGCGCGCGCGCGCGCGCGCGCACACACACACACACACACACACAGCACACCACAGATTCCCAAAATAAAAAGAAACAGGAAATCCTTTATCATTTCATCCTGCTTTAGCTGGAGCAGATGGAGAAGGGGATTAGAGACGATTCTGAGGACAGATAAACCACTCTGTCTTGAACCCCTCAAGTCTCTTGGTTCTCCTCCTCCTCAGCTTTCATTTGTAAGGCAGTCTCCATTTAAGGAAAATGGAGGGCCCCCGTCCCCTTCAGATTCCCTAATGAACCATCATGGCCAGGAAGGAGGGCTGAGACCCTTGACAGAGAAAGTGACCGACGTCCTTTCTCTTCCTTTAATAACTCCAACGCTTGCAGGGACCCCAGCCTTCTCTAAAAGTGTCACCAAAGAAGGGTTCTACAACCATCGGGGTCAAGCTTTGTTGTGGGGAAATGAATATTCATGAGGTCTTTGAAGAACTTCATTAATATGCAGGTAGCCTCTCCTTCTAGAATGGTACATAAGCCATCATTATTTGCCCAACACGGTTTTCTTAAGGCAATGATATGCAATGAAATGACCAAAGAAACATTTTAATTGTTTGTTTAGGGTTTTTTTCTGTCATCCCAGTCATTCACTCTTGCAGGTAATTCGAAGCCTTTCATTTAAATTTGTGTGCACGGAAGAGCCCTATATAAGCATCATCGTCATTTCTGGAATTAAGTCTTTTTTTTTTTTTTTTCTGTTCCTTCTGCTTTATTCCAGGAAGACTGGATCACCAGGAGGGGTTTCAGGACGTTGTCAAGACACTCATTTTTGGTAAGCAATCAGAGGCGGTCTTGCATGGAGCCACAGTGGCCTCGCTTGGCATTTCTTCCTGCTTCTGCCATGTAGAAACCTGGATTGCCTCAAGAGAGGGATACTGCGCCGTGGCAGACGGATGAGTGCCGTGTCCATTCCCAGGGAACTGCATGGGTATAGTTCAGTGCTCCTGAGCACAGACCTTTAAAGCTGGTGTTGATTTGACTGCCAAGGTGTAGACAGACCCTGAGCCAGCACTGATCCTTTACTTTGTCTGAAACTGGTCCTTGTGTACCACCCGATGACAATAGCAGTATGCTCTTGTCCTTTCTCTCTCCAACTGGAGTTCCTGAGCCCTTGTGCTCCCAGGGAGTCCCATGTACTGAAGGTTGAGATCAGCAGCGGGCCCATCAGTATCCGACACAGACAACTGCTATGGGTTCAGGGTCCTTGGTATGGAAGTTAGACGTCCCAAATGTGATTGAATCAACTCAGCTTTCTGAACATGAATGTGTAAAGTCCCAGGGTCAGTCTCTAACATTGCAAATAAATCAACAGTGAAAACACCCTCCCCCACAAAACAAAACAAAACAAAAATAAAACAGCAATAGCATATAAAGCAGAAAGTCTATTGAACGTTCCCATGTCTAAACACTGTGAAATTATAAGTACTTCTAGTCCCGAGCATTTTGGATAAGGATCACTCAACCTGTAGTCTGCTTCGAGGAGTCAGACATTGTGAAATTCTAGGAAGCCAAGCACAAGACATCTAATTTAGATCAGAAAGAGACCTCTTCAGCTAGGTGGTTCCAGGTTGCCATCTGCCTGTGCTCGCCCTGCAGGACCTGCGGGATGGAGCTTGAGGCTAGCCAAGAGTTTGCAGAGGGGAAGGTGGAAGGAAGAATTCTGGATAGCAAAGGCTTATCTTCCTGGGCCAGACCTGCACTAGCTGTCCTGGTTGCAGGGAACCTGCCGGATGGGTGGGGATATGTTTGGAGAGGAGGGAGCAGAGGTGGGGGTTGTTAAGGTTAGGAAGCCAAGCATTACAAGGTCTCTGTGTCCTGACCAGAGCTCTCAGAACCTCTGCTCAGCTCCACGGTGCCCCCTGGATTCATGAGAAGGAACAGCAACTGGACTAAGAAGGAGTAACCATACAAAGGCACTCAGGGAGGTGATGGCTTATGGCGTTCAGGAGAGGGAAATGTGGGTATCCTACCTGGGGAAGCTGTGCGACAGTTCTGAGGATGCAGGGAAGACTGACCAGGCCAAGAGTAGTATTCTGAAGGTCAAGGCTGCCCTCAGAAGCACTGCTTTGCCTTGCTCTGGGTAGCAGAAGTCCCTGGACCATAAATAGTGAGGGTTTTGTTGTCTGTTTGTAACGTGAGATGACTGTCCATTCACTTTCAGCATCTACCTACCCTATGTCCGAGGGACTAATCACGAGGCTGCTGGTGCTGAACACAGACAAGAATACCTGTGCAGCACACCGGATGTGTTCTTGTCACAGATGTCATGGGGTAGATTATGGGGTAGCTTTTGGCTGCGCCATATTCATGAGCAGTTAGGAGTTGCAGAGCAGCCAGAGCTTCCTCAGGGGACAAGGTGCGGTTTAGGTGTTTTTCTGTGGCTTCTAAAGCATCTTGGCTGAGTGCTTCTGAATGTTCTCTGTCGTCCGTTTTTACATACACTGTCAGTTCACCTCACGCTCTTCACAGGCTTTTCCCATCCCACCTGATTTTGTGCTAAGAGTGGTGTGCACTTTTCACCCTTAACCTCAAGACGCATGGTCCTTTCTCAGCTCTGGAAGTGTTAGCACACTCAGGGGCCAGGTTCTGTCAAGGGGCAGGGTTTTGTTTGTAACTTGTGGTGGGACTAGCTTGTGAAAGGTGGCCTTAATAATGAGGGTGCAGCCTCATGAATTATCGTGAATTTCTAATCCCGTGGAACCAGTACATCCTCCACCCTCCAGGAATTAGTCACTGTGAAATTGACACCTTCAAGGCTTCTGGAATGAAGTCCGGGGATGTTTCAGTCAGTTGGAACCATAGGGTGGTTCAGTTTATACCTTCAAAGCCCAAGGTATTTTTTTTCCTTCTGTGCCTACAAAAAGGCCTGATGGGATTTTAAGTGTACAGAAATCTATACCAGTTGCTACAGCCAAGGCCCCTCCAAAGCGCTCTTACTACCCAGTACGATAAACCCATCATTTAAGTGAATGTGCCCAGCATCCTCCCGTACAGTGTCCCTGAAGGCAAGCATATTCCTTCTTAGAAAGAAAAGTGGTGATGAAATGAACATTTTTAAATGTCAATTATGCCAGAATGAATCTCTGCTTGGAGAGCCACAGAGAGAAGCAGAGCCTGGCGTTATATCTTTTTCCGCTGCAAATGGAGCCATTTTATAATCTCAGAATACTAATACCCATGATGCGTCTGGTATGTTGTGGTAGAATAACTTTAAGAATGTGCTCCCACTGTCAGTAAAAGTTTGACATCCTTTTCTGTTTTTCTTCTTGAAGAATCAGTTTGTAATCCTCATTATTGTGTGTGTGTGTGTGTATTTATAGGATGCACAGAGACTAAGATCATAAACTCAGTGGTTTTCCTGCAGGATCACTGATAAGGGAGTAAACTGTGTTGAAATCACGGAGGGCTCAGAGTGTATGAAACGAGGTATTGTTGCGATCATGAAGATGGCTGGCTAGTATAACCATAGCTGCTCCTGCTCCAGCACAGACATACGCCAATGCCGTGTAAAACCCTGACGACCATGTTTGAAAAAAAAAAATACAAAAACAAAAACCAAAACCACAGAGCCAGAGCACTAAGAGAAGAAGATGCCATTAAGGTTGGGACTGTGAATTCCCTGTGGTATGTTGCCGTGATTGAGACTGGTATTCGTGTGGAGAGAGACAGAGACATAGGAGACACACAAAGTGACTCTATGGTAAGACTTCCTGTGCAGGAGCCTTGGACAGGGTAGAGCTAGGCTATGGTCCCAGTGGAAATGGTTCCCCCAGGTGCTTTTCCTATTGTTATGGTAAGATACCCGACTTAGGTATTTTTCTATTGCTATGATAAAACACCGTGACCAAGGCAACTTGTAACAGAGAGCATTTAGCTTGGATTACAGCGTCAGAAGATTAGAGTGCATGGTGACTGGGTGAAGAAGGAATAGCTAAAATCTCACCTCTTGATCACAAGCACAAGGTGGAGACTGTTCATTAGGAACAATGCCAGCTTTTGAAACTTCAAGCCCCACCCCCAGTGACACACCTCCTCCAGCAAAGTCATACATCCTGATCGTTCCCAAATAGTTCCACAAAGTATGGATCAAGTATTCAAACAGATGAGCGAGCCTGTGAGGGATATTCTCATTCAATCCATGACAATACCTAAGGTAAAAGCAAGTTAAAGGAGGAAGAATTTATCTAAGCTCATGGTTCCAGAGGTCTATTGTGGTAGGGGAGGTGGAGGTTCCAGAGGTTTCTGTCCATTGTGGTAGGGGAGGTGGAGGTTCCAGAGGTTTCTGTCCATTGTGGTAGAGGAGGTATGGGAGGGCATCACAGATCTGGGGAGGCAGGCAAGTTCAATTCATATTACAGTGTCCATGGAGCAGAGAAAGTACCAGAAGCATTAGTTTAACCTCCCGAGGCCTGTCCGTACTGACATACTTGTCTTCCAACTACACCCCAAGCTCCTACAGTGTCCACCACTTTCCAAAATAGTGACTCTAGCTACTGGTCAAGTGTTCAGCACATGAACTAGTGGGAGGTGTTTTATATGTAAACTATGACATGCAGGACAACTGATTGGTTAGGTAGCAAAAGATAAGATGAGATTGCGTGTTATAGCTTACAAGCGAATGTCCTTGGAGTAGAAGCGATAAAAGGTTAAAGTACATGGAAGACATTTTCTTCTCTCTCTCTCTAAAATAACAATTAATTACATGTAAGTAAACATTTTAAAGAGAACCAAGAAAAAGATAAGAGAGTTGAAGAGTGGGCAAATAGCATGAAAAAAAGCCTAAATGGCTTACAGACTAATGAACACTTCCTGTCTTCAATTGGGGAATAGTTTAGATAATGAAATACAATTTCACACTCATATTTGGCAGATTAGAATAAACCAAGGATTTGATGAACAAGGGGGTATTTTCATGCCTTACTTTTTGAGGGCAGGTTGGTTAAAAGCCCCTTCAGAGAGCAACTGCACAATTTACAAAAAGAACAAAATGTGGCTCCCTGTGATCCAAACATTCCACTCTTAGGTGTATATGCTTCTTGTTGGCCATGAATTAGTCAAAGTTTTCCAGAGAACCAGAAGTCATGGGACCAATCTCAAGATTTGGCAATATATTAATCTATCATTAGTGTGTCTTAGGACTTACTGTTGATGGGTTTATGATATTACAGCGATTGGCTCATATGTAGCAAGGTCTTGTGATCTGTCTTCACAATCTGGAGAGACAGCAGAGCAGAGCTCATTGGCTAAGAGATAGAGCACAGAGTATCACTTCCTGCCCAGGTCCCAACAGACTCACAGCCAGAGTACAGAGAACAGGACTCAGGTGTTCTGGCTTGAGAAGTCAGGCAGAGAGCAGATTCTGTCACCTTTCTGTTCTAATCAGGTCCTCCATGGGTTGTTGGAGGTCCCCTAACCCACAGTTCAAATGCACATCTTCCTAAAATACCCTAAGAGAGGTGGCCAGAATGCACGATGATTAGCCAGGTATGGCCCAGTCAAGCGGACACATAGAAATAATCACAAGTCACAGTAAACATTTTTTGAAATAAATTAAAACAAAATATAAGATACTATCCTTTGTAGGAGAGAATGCCTTTATTAGCGGTGGGTCTAGTGGTTTGGGAGGTAGAGAGAAAGAGTAACAGTGGTTAAGTAACAATGGTTTGTGTTCATGGGTTTGTGCCTCCTGTTCTCTACACTTTGTTCTGTGTATCTCATAGCGTTGATTAAAGAGGAGGTTGTTGTAGGACTGAGGAGTTAACCCAGTTGCTA